GCCCCTTGGGTCCCAGGTCTGTCCAGTGAGTGGTGCGTGAGGACCGAGCCGTACATGCGGCCCAGGCTCCTGGGCAGTGGTGGGAGTGGCTCCGGGGGGCCACTTTCAAGAGGAATGGACGTCCTGCCTGCCAGGGGCTGGGGCCCCGAGGCTGCATTGCAGCCCATCTCTCTGAGGACCAGGCCGAGGCCCGGCGGGGCACATGGTGGGCACGGGAGGGCGAGTCCGCGGCGCCACACCTTTTCAGGAAACGTTCACCCACTCACCTGCCCGGGGACCCCGCCTGCAGCCGCTCAGGTCGTCAGAGGTAAGCGGACGATCTGACAGTGTCCTTTTGTAAGTTAGACGGCTGTTTCCTGGCGTAACTGATCCCAGCTGCCATGTACAGTGGTGACACTGTGGGCTCTCCTGCTCGGGTCTCCAACCAGGTCCCCGTCCCCTCCCTGGGAACCCTCGTTTCGGGTGAGAAACTGCTGCAGGACTGGCTGTGAGGAGCGGGAACCCCGGGTTGTGTGTCAGGAACCTGAGGTTCCACTTTTTGGCCACAGGACACGTCCACCTGGATGAGGTCAGCTGCACGACCGCAGAGACACTGGAGACCCCAGGGCCGGGGAACGTGGGCGGGCACATCTGGCTAAGGGAGGGCACGGAGCACTGGGGAACGGGTGCTTCTGGAGGAGGAGGCCGGCTGTCCGCTCCGGGGAGCCCTTCTGAGCACATCTGTTCTGGCCCGAGCAGCCCCAGCTGGACGGGGCTCTTACTCGGTGGCAGCCTCTCGGTCTGAACAGCCCGCAGGAGTGTTCTTTGTCCTGCATTTAACCTTGGAAACCGTACGGGAGGCTGGCAATTCCTCTCCCTTCTTCACAACGCAGCCTGGTGTCTCCTGTCCCAGCCGGTCCCCACACTGTCCCTCAGCAGCTCTCAGGGGCCCCACCTCCAGTGGCCCTCCTTTCCCTGGGGCAGCTTCCTGTGTGGTGTCCCTCGGGGGCCCCGATGGCCGAGACCGAGTCCAGGGGAGTGAACACAGCAGTGGCTGATTCTTTGATTGCGGTTGCAGGAAATCACAGGCAATTAAAATGCCACAGGCTGGGTTTCACATTCTTGAGACCCGGGCTGCGCGTCTCGCTTGGTCTGAAATGCGGGTCTACGTGCACAGGGGAACCACCGGGTCAGCTGGTGCAGAAGCCTTTTTCTGGCCTTCGGATCTGAGGAGGCAGAGGTCGTCAGGAAAACTGTCCTCAAAACCTCCGACTCGGGGGCCGGGGGCCTTTGGACGCTGTGGCCCAGCTCCTTCAGGACAGAGAGCTTCTCAGGGGTCCTTCTTAGGTGTCTTCTGAGAAGTCCTGGGTGAGCCTGACAAGCGCAGGGACATCTTGAATGGCCCAGACGTTCTCCAGATATTTTGGATGGACCGAGGCATGAGGCTGTCATTTTCCGGTTCCTTGAATCACAACGCAGACTCAGGCCTGGGACCCTAGCAGGGAGCCTGATTCTGACAAGCCTGGACCAAAACCCTGCCCCTCACCTCGGGGCTCCGACCCGGCCCCACAGGTGGGGGCTCCTCAGGAGACGCCTGAATCTGATTTCATGTCCTCGGCATGAACTTGACTTTATTACAAGAACTGGCCTAGCCTGCCCAGGAGAGCGATGGGTCCGCACACCCCGTCTGAGGCTGTATCAGCGCTGGCTGGCGCCCTTGGTCCACCCATTCCTGCACTCCCAGGGCGCTCACTGAAGTCCTGTTACAGCAGACTCAGCCGCGCCCCACCCCCCATCTCCGTGTGGGAATCCCTGCTGCCTGTGACTCTGTCGCCTTCCATGAAGGCCACTTGCAGACACAAGCGAAGGTCAGGATCTTCATGTGGGAAAGTCACTCGGAGCCATGTGAGGGGCCCCAGGCTGTCACCAGGGCCCCAAGCAGAGGGGGTGGCGTGGGGGTGCTCAGAGTCAGCACCGGGGACTCGGGTTACCCTGGAAACCGGCAACCATGGCACGCCCTTGACAGACACTTCGCTGGGACAGGAAACGGCACGAGGGAGGCAGCTCCTCTGCTGTGCCCGCCGCGGGCCCTGCGGGGTTTTCCTTGGTTTTAATGACTTCTGCTCAGAAAGTTTCTGACCCAGAGAAAAATCATTACGATCTAATTTTCCAGCGGTTTCCTCCATGGTGTCCATGACGCTCTCTCCCTTGAAGAATCGGGTGGTGCGCACATTCAGACAAGTGACTCTGATGGATAAATCATCCCCCAGGCGAGAAAGAGCCCACGTGTGAAATGAAAGTGAGATGTTTTCAAAGCTACTTCGATTAAAGACAGGACACTGATCAATACGCAGCGTTTTTCATGATGAAAGGCACTGTGGGGTGCGGGTCACGCCGCGGGGCAGTGATGCCAGGCTGAGCCCCAGCAGACTCGGTGAAAAGAGGCCGGGGCGGCAGAGTCCCCAGGGGCTGCAGGGGCTGAGCCGCAGCGTCAGCCTGAGGGAGCTCCAGATCCGCGCTTAAAGCGCATTTCTGAATCCTCAGCACACTGCCCACGCAGGTGTTTTTATATCTGACGACTGCTAGATGAATATTAAAATTGCATATTTGCATTTCATACAAGGCGAGGCGACCTAGCAGCTCGGACTTCGTTCTCAAGCGTGCGGAGAGAAACATTGAAAGAAATCCCATTTTTCAAAATAAGCACTGGGGATGTGTTTTGGACAACATCTCTTTTGGAATTATTTTCTAGAGATCGTTTTAGAACTGTAAAGGAAAGCATCTGTCAGATTAACCTCCCTCTCCCCAGGCTGCAGACGGACAAAGGACGGCTAGGAAGTGTTCCTCCGAGTATCCGACCTCCGGATATTTTGACACAAAACGACTGAAGTCCCGCCCAGATTCAGCGGCAGGAGGCTCTGCATGCGTCGGAAGCGCGGCCCCACTGACTGACGGGCGGCAGTGGCGACTTCGTGCGGGTGCGATGGTCTTCTCCGTCCTGGTGTCTGTCTGCTCTTCCAGACGGGGCTCCGTCATTTCTCCGGTGTTTTTCACACTCCTGTGCACGAGGCTGTGGCTGCTGCCTGCCGTCCCGACCCCACTGAGGAGGGAGTGTGCTGGACACTCACTTCACAGGGACGGGCAGGGCTGGTGCCTCCCCTGCGGCTTCCCTCTCTCTCTGCCCCGACTCTCGGCCCCCCTCCGACCGTCTGGAGGAAATCCGGACTCCAGGACTAGCCTGGGACCCACCGGAAACTTCGGAGAGAGGCGTCTGCTGTGATGTGTGGGGCGCACCCGTTTAGGGACGAGAGCAGTACCCTTGGCAAAGCGAGGCGTCGTGGACTGGAGTCCCAGCCTCCGTTCCGCACGACCCTCACAGGGCCTCCACGAGTGTTTCAGTTTGACTCCACTGCGACAGCAGCTCTACTGGACGGCGCCGTGGACAGTCCAGCCCTGTCCTGCCAGGTAACTGCTGCTCCAGCGCACTTCTGGAGACCACGGCAGCGCTTCGCTGTCCCTCACTCCTCACAGACCCCCAACCAGTGTTGGGGGTCTATCGGTAACGATCTCTTCAAGTCTGTGTTTAACGCGGTGGGTGAAAAGCCCATCACTGCCCTGAGTTTCTAACCTGCCCATCTCGTGCCTTCCTCCCACGAAGGGCAGAAGCGGGTGCAGGCCTTCGCCGACAAGGCAGCTTGGAGTCTGGGCCCCACACCCGGGGCCCCGATGGCACAGGGACGGTGCTCTCAGCCCTGCAGAGGCCACCGGGACAGCCCTCCGCCCCCACCCCCACGACCGAGGCCCTGCAGCTCCGCGTGGGGATCACGAAGCCTCCGCCGGAGCCAGGAACAGAGAACACGCACCCGGGCATCGGCCTCTTTGGAAACGGCTCTGGGTCCCGCCTGAGGAGGCAGGCTCAGCTCCTGGTTCCGTGGGACGGCCCGGAGACCGGAACCGGCCCGGGCCCTGGATGGAGGCACCGTGCGGTCCCGGCTGCTCCGCTGCCTCTGGGCTGCCCCTCAGGCACTTCCTCTCCCAGCACCGGCCGGCGTGGGCTTTCCCAGCGGCGCCAGTTCTGCAGTTTGTGATTCCAGGCGCCCCCCCGCCCGTTCTTGCCAACACCTTCAGTGGGCACACAACACACCCGATCCTGCCACAGGGCCACACCCTCCCAGGACCGCATCATGTCCCTTTCCCCACAGTGGGTCCCAGTGCCAGGAACCGCAGACAGCACCCTTCCCTGTGCTGCTCAGGATGGCCCTCAATTCTTCTGACCTGTCGCCACGGTGCCCTCAACCCAGGCCACCTCACTCCCCAGTGCAGCCGGCTCCTGGCGGCTCAGCCACGCGTTGCCGCCCGCTTTGCACTCTGCTCTGCATGTGTCCCCGGGCCAGGTGCATCCATGGTGCCGCAAAAACCAGAGCAAAGCGGAGAGATGCCGGGCAGTGCCATTTGGTGGAGGTGGTGAATTTTCAGGGGGTGGATGCGGTTTCCACAGACGCTGAAGGAAATGGAGACACTGAATCTGCCACCCAAAAGTCGGCCGAGGGTTCATGCCCACCGCCAGCCTGCTGGCAGCAGTGAATCACAGTTATGGGTCTGCTTCCCCAGCGCGAGGATCCGGCCGGACGCTGCCGGGGAGGCGCCAGGGCGTCTCTGCACATCGGCTGCTTCGCCGCAGCCTGTTCCACTTTGACAGTTGAAAAGCAGTCACCTTCCAAATACCGCTGCCTTTGTCTTTCCCCATACAAAACCTGACAGAAGTCAACGACTGTTTAAAAAACCCAGCCATTATGGGTTTCACTCTAAGAGAAAGAAAGGTCGCCTGTGAAAGAATGTTTCTAAACGCCACTGCCAGTGTGACAATGTGACAACATGACAAGTGCGACTTGGGAAAGTCACCAGACACCTGGGGTGCCCTTCACCTGCGGGGAAGGCACGCGGCTCCCACCTGGGGAGGGTGGGGGGGTGGCGCACGCACCTGCGCGGTTCCACCAGCAGCCAGCGGGGGGCGCTCTCACCTGCCGCGGGCCGGACGGTGGAGGTGGCGGGGCAGGGCGTCAGCGCGGGGAGGCACTCGTCGTCCTGGGAGTAGCCGGCCTGGATGGCCCGGAGGTAGCTGTGGCTGCGCGTCCGGAAGCAGCCGGGCAGGTCCAGGGCGTCCATGGCCTGAGACTCGACCTCCCCAAAGACGGACTCGCACACCGACTCGAACTGCCCGTTGACCTCAGCCTCGCTCATCTGCAACAGGCGAGAGGTCATCGGCCCGGCTCTCCCGCCACCGCGGGACCCGGCACGACGGCCGGACCGACCCCCCACCCCCCACACCCCCGTTCCCGTGGCCTCCTGCGCTCCGCGGCCAGTTCGACGGCAGCGCGGGGACCTGCTGAGCCTGGGACGCAGCTACTGGGGTATTTCTGACAGGACAGCAACGGCCAGTTCCAAGAATTCCCTGGTGTTCTGAGGGCCCGCAAGGCGCTTAAAGGGTGGCCGACCCTCACCACTGCACTGGAGAGAGACTGCGTCTGAAGGTCTGGCTCCCCACCTGGTGCAAAGGGCCTGTTCAAAGTATGAGGGACTTCAGCTGCCTCTCCCGGTCGCCACAGAAACTAACCTTCATTTGTCCACGAGCTCCTGCTGGTCCCCACAACAGCTGGGCAGGTGTCTGCACCCAGCTGGTGGCCTCACCTAATTCTATTTTTTTCTTTCTCGTCTTCAGCCCGGGATTTCCCCATAGGCACCTTATGTGGTAGTTTTCCAGGTAATTATGTTTGAGTCTGTGGTTTAATTTCCAGGTATGGAGTCACCTGGGAACCTAAAAGTTCCCGCGGTATTTTAAGCAAGGACCCTGGCTGGGACTGCGGAGGGACCTCGCACACAGAGGGGCTGGCCCCTGCGTGGGGCGTGGGCTGGTGGGGGTGCACGCCCTGGGCGGGGGGCACACTTTTCCTGAGAACTCTAGCCAGCGGTCCTCGTGCATTTTCCACGCGCCCAGTTGGGAGGTTTGGAGAGGAAATCCAGTGCAGCAAACTATGGGATCGCACGAGGTGAGGGAGTGTGCGGTGGGAGAAAGCACACGGTGCAAGGATGAGAAGCGGGCCCTGGGCCGCGGCACAGGCCTGAGGATGAGGGCCCAGGGCTCGGACCCCATCTGCTGGGGGGCAGGCGAGGGCTCCAAGCCTCGTCGCTGTGCCCAGTCCCAGCACAGCCCTGGAGGGAAGGTGTCAGTCACCTGGGATGATGACTGACAGGCCCGCCCAGGCCCGGCCTCGGCCTCTGGGAAAGCGTTCCGTGTAACCCGGAAACACCCATGAGCTCAAGCGCTGCTTTTTAAGGACAGTTAAAGTTGCTAAGCACTGTGTTTAATTTAAAATCTGGAAATCCGGTTTTTCGCGTCCTATGGCATGCGGCACTGACAACACCCAGGTCCTGATTCTCCCCAGCAGGCCCCTCTCCTCAGGCCGCCCCGAGGTGGACTGTCTAGCACCTGGCGGTGCCCCCGGCCCCCGGTGCTCTGGGAGCGACACCAGGCACCACGGCGAATTTGTGGCTGTTCACGAGGAAGGTTGGGCAAGCTCATCAGTCAGCGGGGGAGCTGGGGATGGGCAGCAGGTCGGAGGACGGCAACGGGAGAACCGTAGTCACGGCCGCCAGGACCACGGGTTGTCGCAACGCCCCCAGGTTTGTCTTCAGGGAGAGGCAACTCCAAGTCTGCCTCAGCCCCTCCCCGGACCCGAGGCCTTCGACTTCGCCCCCCTCCCCCAGGACAACTCCCGGAGTGACGCGGAACTACCGACTAAACCCAGGGGACAAGGGAAGACAGGAGCCCCCACCTGGCTCACGCAGCTGGCCTGGCTCAGCGTGCTGACCGCTCTCATGTAGCTCTGGTTCCGGGAGCGAAACTTCGGGGAGCTGTAGTTGGCGGCGGGGTCCAGGCTGTGGCTGGCAGGCCCGTCGCTGGCCGCCTGCAGGTAGCTCTGGCTGCAGAGACAAAAGAGGAGAGAGACGTTCCCTGAGCGGCGCTGGGGGGCCGGGGAGGGGGGAGGGGGCCAGTGACCGTGGGAGCCAAAGCCAAGAGGCTGCTGCGAGATTTCTAGCCCCGGTTCGTCTGTTGACAAATACTTTGCCTCCTGTAACTGGTCCCAAAGTTCACATTTACGAATGTGAATCTCATTGAAAGCAACAGGGGAGGCCGTTTGCGGAACTGCTTTGGAGCCTGACATTTTATGGACAGGCAGGACGTTAGGGTCACTTCCACGTGTTTCGGAGACTGCTGAGAAAGCCGGGCTCCTGAGTCGGGCTCCTGAGCCGAAGCCAGAAATGTGTGACGTCTCGTAAAAGCCAGGCGAGCTTTTGGCAGCCCTGCCTGCTCAGAAAAAAAAACAAATACAAGGCCTCCAGTCTTAACCCAGGCGGGAGTTGTCCGGGTTGGGCAGTTTGGGCAGATGAGGGGCAGCCCGGGAAGTTAGACCCACTCTATCATCAGCATCACTGCTCCTCCCGCACTCCCTTCGGAGCCGTTTTCTCCGGCTTCCCCGGCTTTCCCTTCCTGGGATTCAGCTGGAGGAGCACCAGGGTGTCCCCCCCAGATCAGATTTACATAACAAAGCAGGGGCCTCCCTGGGCTGCTGGCAGAGGCTACGTGGAGGGAGATAACTTGGAACAGCAGACGAATCCAAGCCCCCAGCCCTGTCACCTTAGAAAAGCAGTGGAGAGCTCACGTGGACCGAAGGACAGAGCAACAGGAGACGCTATTCTTACACTAAGTGTGTGATTCCACACTCAGGGGTGTCTCTCCATTTTCACGAAGGGGACCCGACGTGAACGGCGGGCTACTGCGTTCCACAGAGGTGGAATATTCTAGCCAGTGTGGGGTGCATGCGTGTGTGCACGTGTGTGCCGTGTTCCTTCGCCCACACGGAGATTACACTATTGTCTGCCGCACGCATTGCACTTAAACTTGAATCAACTGCCTGGTCTGACATGGTGCCTTAGACCACAAGTGTCCTCCCAGCCCTGAGTGTGGAGACATGCCTGCTTGTTCCTGTCACGTGGAAGCCGGTCAGCCTCAGACTGCAGTGGGGACACAGCCCGCCGAGTGCCTGTGTCCCTTCTCAGCCTGTCCCTGAGGCCAAAATAGAGGCTCACAGAGCCACATTGCCACTGCATCAGCCTCCCGATGCTCAAGGTGTCCCTGTGACGCCCGCAGCCACTAAGTCCTCAGGGAACCTGCTAGCGGTGACCACATGGCCCCAGAATGTGTGGACAGCGGATCGGGGACCTGCAGCCGCAGGGACTGAGCACTGCCCAGCCGCTGCACCGCCTTGGAACGAACGACGAGATTGCAGGAAGCCAAGGTCCCAGGCTCGGGACGCACACCTGGGGTGTCTCCCTGCAGAGCCTGCATTCGCGTTCATCACCGGAGGGCCTCAGGCGCCCGTCTGGCCCAGGACAGTCGGCAGGGAGCGAGGGCCGCTGGGTGAGCAGGAAGTCCTGACCCGCTCATGGAACCGGCCTTGCCCTGCAGAGGCACCTGAGGCAAACCGGCAGGGGCGAGGCTCTAAGCGAATGCGGCAAACAGCCCCGGTCCTTCCCGCTGTTCTGGGAGACGGGGGCGGTGGGACTGTGACAGGGGACCCCGCTGGCGCCTGGGGTGGCCTGTGGCTGAATGACACCCATTTCAGGCATGTGGCCTCTTCAAGGAGGCTGGCACGAGTCCCTTCGCACTAACAGCAGAGACACGGAGGAGCCGGGAGACCGAGTCAGCTTCGCCTTTTCAGTGTCTTATTTTTAGAGCCCGAACGCGGTTGTGTCACAGGCCTTGGTGGCCGCTCGTCTGTCAGGGTGGTCAGCTGTCACCCCCGACACGCGGTTCGCGGATGTGATTTCTGTTCATTCATTCGTTGTGTCAGCCGCACCGGGGACACGCTACACTGGGAAATGCAGGGCAATGACAAAGAAGGTGTCTCCTGGCCTGAGTGCCACCAGGCCACGAAGAGGGGACCGAGCTGAAGGGCGAGAGTGGTGCACACAGGGCCCGAGGGTGGGACGTGGCTGCGGGTCCGCGGGGAACCGCTCGCACTGGACGTGGGGCTGCACCGCCGCCCTCCGTCCTCCGCTGGGCCCACAGGCCCTTCTGCACCTCGAGGTCAGGACTCCGCTCTGCGGATCGGGCGAGGCTACGGCTCCGGAGAAACGAGCTGAGCTTCTGTGGCGGCTTTAAAGCGAAAGTGAGTGAAACCGCATCGAAACCTCTAACACTCGCAGGGCGTGCTAGGAAGCTGTGACCACAACTTCCCAGCAGCGTAACTTCGGTGGAAACAGAAATTTCAGCACAACGATCTCGGGGAGGGCTTCGCAAGTTAGCAGAGGGCTCCATGGGCGGGCACCGGCACCTGCACCTCCCCTGCTGGCTGGCTGGCTGCCGTGATAGATAACTTACGGAGTGGACGGAAAAACGGACCTGACTGCTGGATGGCTGTGCAGGCCCAGTGGGGAGGGGGGGGGGCGGAGTGGGCGGAGGCAGAGCTGCCCCGCCGAGGTCACGGCTGCGGAGGCCGCAGTCTGGCTCCACCCCTCACTGCCCATGTGCGTGCGCGCTGGGCCTAGCAACCCGCAACCGTGCGGTGCGGGACGCGCCCGACCTGATCTCCTCACTCGGCGGCGAAGGGCTGCGTCAGTACCCAGACTCCGCGGCCTCGGCCTCAGTCTGCCAGTTTGAGGGCCTTTTCCTGCTCTGGGCAGATTTCAGTAAATCTGAACCGCGTCTTCTGAACACAGTCCGCATCCGCGCCGGGGGCGGGAGCCTGGGTGTCCCCGAGATGAGGTGCAGGCCAAACCCTCACTCCAAGGAAGGAGGTGAGTTCACCTCCGCAGGTGAAGAGTGCAGGGTGGGCGCGGGGCGCGTGAGGGAGCCTGGCGTCGTCAGGCGCGGCAGGAGGACAAGGGTCTCGCCAACACCCACCCCGGCTCACGGCTGACCAGCTCCTGCTTTCTCTCTGTCACCTCTTACAGACCAGGCACAGCCCGGTGGTCACTGCTCCCAGCGGTCTCTTTGCTCACACGGCCCTCCGCGTGTGTGTGTCCGCAGGGCGGGGCCTCAGCTCTGCGCCCCGCCCTCCCTGCCCCGCCCCCTGCCCGGCAGGCACAGTGGAGTGTGATGGGGGGTCGGCCCCACCTTCTCTGCTGCAGTCACTGTGGGACTTCACAGAACTCGGAGAAGACAGGGTTCGCGCCTGTTAAATTCACAACTTTGACTCTGGCTGCATGTCAACATTTTTAGTTTTCCCCCTGGGAGCTAACCTGACAGAATGACTGCAGAAGTCACACGGACGTTTTGCTGGTCCCTCTGTGCACCAGGCACCGAAGGGGATGTCCCCAAAACAAGCCTGGCTGGGCATCACTGTCTCCTGAAAGTGTGACAACCCAAACGTTGGGGCTGCGGAGGCAAAGCACCAACTGGCCAGCTCACCCTACTGCTGGCCTTCACGCAGGAGAGCGGACCACCCACCCAGGAGCCCCGCAGGGCTCCCCACGTGCCTCAAACCGAGCTGCTGGCACCTGGTGCACCCACAGCCTGACGCTGAGAACAAGAACAGCAATTTACCGAATGGCTTCTCTGTTTTGGAGACTCGCCAATAACACGGTAGCAGGTGCTATTACACTTGCAACGCAGTCCGTTTCCCACCCTCACCCGGCTGCCCCCAAATGCACTTGTGAAGTCACAGCAGAAAACAGCCTGTGACGCGGAGTCCCGCACACTCACTCCCGCACACTCACAGATGTGCTCCTGATGAACACGCCTGCAATGGCCTGAGAAGACACGGAGGGACTGCCCTGGTCGTGATGACTGCTGTCAAGTGACCCTTTGACATAGCGGTCGCCCCCGTCCAGCCCCTTCGTGGCTGTGTAGTCACTCGGTCACCCCAGCCTGGCTCTTTCTAAAAGCACGTGCTTGCTGGCGGCCACGCAGTCCGGCATTTTCAGCCCAGAAACCGTCTTTGCTGGGGGCCCACAGCCAGCCGCACCAGGAGGGGTCTGGGGTGGGAGGCGTGTTCGGACCAGCGGGGGTCTTACGTGTGCAGCCCGGCCAGCGAGGCGAGCAGGGGCTCTGGCCGCAGGGCCGCCGTCGGGGACGTCTTGGGGCTGGAGTCTGACTCCCCACTCTCCTCGTCGCCCATGGCTTTGATGTAGCTGCCGCTCCGCATCCTCCGGCAGGGGATCTCGTCCCTGCCCCCCACCGGGTACCCGGCCCACTCGTCCTGCGGCACCTGGGAGAGAAGAGACACACCAGGTCAGCCTGTCGGTCCCCGAGGGAAGGAGTTCTCCAGGGTCCTCGGAGGTGCAGCGCGTCACGGCCGATCCTCGTGGAAGTGCAGACGCCCAGATCGGCGCTGCAGGCGCTCTGCCAGGAAACCCTACGAGGACATCAGCGTGGGGAGAAGCGAGAACCTGTCGGGACAGTGAAGTGAAGAGTCCCCTGTCACTGCAGCACCTGGGAAGAACTGCGACGACGGTGACGTCCCTCTGGCACCGTGGGACTGAGACCAGGAGAGAACTGGAAGATAAAAGGGTCTCCCCACGTGGAGGACGAGGAAGAGGAAGAACAAACAGGAGGTGACAAAATGGTTCCCATGTTGTGACGAGGAAGAGGAAGAACAAACAGGAGGTGACGAAATGGCTCCCATGTTGTGACGGTGACCGACCGGGGTGGGGGAGGTTTAAACACCCGATGCTTGGCGGTCACCAGGCAGGTTTCTGGGTTGGGGGGGAGGCCGCTCCCTGTGAGGGGCGTCCCCGGGGGGGGGGGTGGGAACAGATGGCAGTGGGCCGCCTGCCACAAGAGGACACCCTGCTGGCAACTTGCAGGATTTCTGTGAATTCAAAACATGTTTCCGTGAGAGACAAGCGCAGACTGTTAACCGGCAGCCTGTGCACAGAGACGCCTGGACTGTCCTACGTTTGACTTTAGGGGCCGATTCTGCCTCTTTGACAGAAGCAGCTTCAGTACAGGAGTGTCAACCAGAGCACATGCGGGGACTGTCACGGGGACAAGGAGTGACCCCAAGGTGCCCCGGTGCTGCCGTGCGGCCGGCTGGCGGTGAGTGGACGAACCCACAGGCATCCAGGCACAGGGAATCTGCTGCCTGCCACGAGGAGGGACGACCTGCATCACCCCTGACAGAGTGACAGGGACAGGCACCGCTTCTGAGCTGCCACCTTCCTGAGAGTGACAAGGTTCGAGCTGGTGTGTCCTGCTTCTGGCTGCAAGGACACCTCAGGTCCGCGCAGGAAGTGTCTTGCTTTCGAGCAGTGGTGGCGGGGAAGGGCCAGGTTTTGTGCCAGTGTTCTCTCCCGGGGGTTCGAATGAGGGGACAAAACCTCGCTGGATGCCGTGGTCCCTGGGGCAGGGTCTCCCTCACTCCTTCCCCGCGCTGTTTCCGGTGCACAGCACGTGGGCCGCCACTGTCCCCGGGGACCCCTCCCTGGAGAGCCGGGCACTGGGTCCCGAGTCACCTCGTTTTACACTGAATGACCATGTGTGGTGGTGGCACCGGGGTGGGGACCAAGCAGCAGCCCAGGAGGTGCCCTGACCTGGAATCAAACCGGGGACTCTTCCCCGTGCGGGTGACGCCCAGCCCACTGAGCCGCACCAGCCAGGGCTCGCTTCTGTGTTTGGATACTTGTCAGCCTCCAGCACAGAGACAAGGGTGCCTTTGGGCCTGAATCTCGCTGGGGATGCAGACTGGGGACCACTGAACAGACTGGAGCACAGGTGGCAAACACAGGGCCTGCTGGGCAAATCCGGCCTCCACCTTGTATCCAATTGGCACCGTGTTTCTACCCGGTGGCCGCGCCGAGCTCCTTGCCCTGAGTTAAGGAGTAGTTAGAGTAGTTACATTTATACAGTCCTAACGTTACATTCCGCCCTTGAAGGCAACCACGAGGCTGACGTGGCCCCGGTGGAAATGAGTCTGACACCCCTGGACTAGAGCCTGCGGGGGAGGTCGAGGGGGCCGCCTGAGAAGGCCCCAGGGAGGGGGAGTCAGGACGGCACAGAAGGTCGGCAGTCCTGGGCCCGCAGGCCCCTCCTCTCCGGGCTGAAGTCCCACTTTCCTGCCTGACGGGAAGCACCTGGCCAGGGCCCGCGTCTCCCGGGTGCCCCTCTGGATGCTTCTGCGGGAACAGAACAGGAAGCTGGCCCCTTGGTAGGGGAGGGGTGTTCTCTGAACCCCTAACACGACCTGTGCAGCTACAGTGTTGGGGAGCCTGGCGGGGTCGAGGTGCGGGTCTGCTCACCGGGGACACTGAGCTCTGGGGACAGGGCTGCCCCGCCTCCCCAAGTCCAGCCCAGAGTCCTGGTCAGCGAGTGGCTGTCACCCCAGATGTGACCAGTGCTCCGCTTTGGCCCCATGGGCTTCAGTGGGTGAAGTTCTCATTGCTCTGACCACCTGTCGCCCTCCCCCCACTTCCTCCGAAGTTCCCAAAAGTGCGAGTGGAAGCATTTCCCACGCAAACTGTAGCGTGGATGGAACCCACCAGGGACAAAGCCCCGAACGCAAGTCACCTGTGCCTCTGGAGCACAGGACACCGAGAAAGGCAGGAGCGAGAAAGCGTAGGGAACCAGAGGCTGTGGGGGGGGGGGAGTAGGGGACGGGGTGCAGGCCCAGGCCAGGCACGACAGGTGTGTCTCTGCAGGAGGCCAAGGCCGGGGTCCCCGTCCTCGGAGGCTCTGGTGGAAGGTGCAGTCCACTGAGTCACCGCATGCCGGGGTCAGACCCGCGTGGCACTTTCTGCCATTACTGTGTGCAGAGCGAGGGTCCCGGCCTGGGAGGATGTGCCCTGCAGGGTTGCCACTCAGCCGAGCCCCTCACTCACCCCTGGGAGCCCTGTCCCTGTCTGGGTGCCATCTGCAGAAGAGCAGGGAAGGGGTGGCATGGTCTCGCAGCCTGGCGGAGAAGGGTGTCAGGGATGTGAAACACTTAGTGACCTCACAGTGGGCACCGGAGCCGCAGCGCAGGCAGGGAAGTGTCAGCAGACGGTCAGCTCCTGACCCCCCAGGGCCCCCAGAGGCACGAGGACACGCAGTGGAGGGACCAGCAGATCTTCCGGAGCAGCGACTGCCTGGCGCCCTGGGCTCCCGTGGCACCTGGCTCAGACAGGCAGGTGAAGAGGAACGTGAGCAGCAAGGGGATTCGAGCCGGGGCTGCATGTCTGCGGCCGTCAGGGCTGACACTGTGTCCAGGGTCTGGCAATGGAGCTGCGGCTACGTACGACCCCAGAGGAAGGGCCCTTCCCTCCCGGGCAGCTCCCCACAGCGGTACGGAACACTTACTGGGCCTCGGGCCTGCACGGGCAGGCGTGCTCATCCCCGGGAGACAGGCCTGGCCACGCACTGATGGGCTCTGAAGCTGTGTGACCAGAGTGTGGGGCTCGTCACCTGACGGCCTCACCTTTTCACAGGTTAGCCTTTTCCATGATGAAAACGTTAGGGAGGATACAAGCAGAGCCGACAGAGAGGCTTCCGCCCGGAGAGGCGAGTGGGGACACGCCAGGCTGAGGCACTGCCCTCGAACGTCCAGGGGACGTGGCGTCGGAGACTCGCAGGGACAGGCAGCGCAGCCGGGGCTTCGCCTCTCTCACAGCGACTAGGAGGAGCCTGGTGCCACCGGTCACGCCCTCCCTCCTGACACGTGAGGTGGCCCTTACGTTTACGTGTTGTCAGGGTTTGTCAATGGCATGCAGAACTTACCTCTGCTACAAAAATAATGTTCTTCTCTAACTACACACTTGTCTCTCAGGAAACCCGCCTGTGAAAGTGGCTTGGCCAGCACTGCCTCGTACAGCAGAGCCACTGGGTGTGGGACGAGCGGCCAGGACAGTGGCTGCAGTTGCCGAAATGATCTGCGGTCCCTGGCTCCTGAGGCAACTGCTTGGCCCCGATGCCAGACCCTGGGGACTCAGCCAGTGCCTGCCTCTTCCTGACCCTCCTGCAAGGGCCCCTCTCGCCCGCGGTGCAGCTGCAACCACTTGGGTCGGGTGGGGGTGCGGGTGTGAGTGACGGGATGCAGGCGACTCCCCGCTGCGCTCGTGGCAGATGGCACCACTGGCAGAAGCAGCGAGGGGACGTCGTGAGAAACGCAGAGTTCCACAGTCTGCCACCTCTCGCCACCACGGTCTCTCACCTGTTCTCACCTTTGGTGAGTGCTTTCACTGTGCACCCAGAGGAGTGGGGGTAGGGCCTTCCCAAAATCGTACCTACGGTGTTATCGTCAAGGGGGTCAGTGAACTCACCCAAGCTGCAAGCCCGCTTCCACCGGGCCAAACCGGCCGCCTTTGGAGCAGAAAACTCGACTGTGGGCTGACCATCCCACTACTGCTGAATTCGGCAGCCTGAGAGGTGTGAAGGGAAGGCCCTCCGGGTACGTTCAAGGGGTGCCTCTCTCGGAGCAGGCCAGCCAAGGCCCCTCAAGAGGTGCCACAAAGACCTCAAGGCACATGGCCGCTGCCCTGGGGCCCCCTTACCTGGAGGTAATGGCATGGCCTCAAGGGCGCCTTGATCTCCTGGTGCACCAGGGGCTTGTCCAAGTTCAGGGAGCTCTTGCGGTAGGCCTCCTTGGCCTGGCTCACGGTCAGCGTGGACCAGGAGCTGCGCTTCATGTACTTGGCGTCAGGCGTCAGGGCCAGGCCCTCGCAGGCCGAGCACTTGACGTCGTTGTTGCTCCGGGACGTCTTCAGGGAGAGGTCCCCGAAGGGGCCGGGCAGCGGCTCTGGGAAGCAGTGGGAGGCGTGGTCCGCCAGCTGCCTGTGCACCACGCTGGAGGCCCGGCAGGTGCTGTCGCTGTCCAGGTTGTCGTCGGAGCTCCACCAGCTGCTCAGGCCCGACCTGTGCTTGCTCTCGGGCTTCCGGTCCTTGCTTTTGCTCCGCTTGCTGTGCTTGGGGTGGTGGCCGTGGTGGTCCTCGCCCCGGCCATCACCCTTGGCTCCATTGACGTTGCCCTTGGAGGAGCCCTCCAGGGAGTGGGACTTGGTGAAGAGCTTCTGCACCGAGTGCACCAGGTGCCGGATGCGCCCCGGGCTCTCGCCCCGCGGCTCGTTGGCGGAGGAAGTCCTCTGGTACTGCAGCGTGTGGAAGCCGTCCCTGTGCAGTGGGAGCTGCTTCTCAAACTGGTCCAAGAGGTTGGCCGGGATCCGGTTGACCTTGGTGCTGGCGTGGGGCCCGGCGCAGTCGTCCCTGGGGTCGTAGTGGGAGCTGTAGTGCATCCTGGGGAAGGTGCTGCTGGACACGTGGTCGGCCAGCACCAGGGGCAGCATCACGCACTCCGAGTGCACGGAGCTGCGCGGCGAACAGCGGCGGTGGTCCAGCGGGCAGCCGTCCCCGGGGCTCAGCAGGTAGGGCTGCCGGGCATCCGGCCCCAGCAGCAGGTCCTCGGGGGGCGCGAGCCCGCAGGTGTGGCCTGAGCACAGCGGGGGTGGGTTCCGGCTCCCTGACAGCCCTTTCATGGTCCTGGGGGCCGGGGAGTACCTGTCCTCATTGAAGTGCTGGGCGGGTGACCACGAGTGCTGCTGGTCTGTGGAGAGAACGCAGAAGTGCCGTGAGCCTCTTGCGCTGGAGAAAGGACCCCACCCGGGAACCGTTCTCTCTGGGGGCCGGTGGTCACTCGGTCTGGGCGTTTGGTGGGCAGTGCTTTTTTATGCCATGACTGATGCTGCCCAGAATGAGGGTCTCAGGGAGAATAAGCCCCCATGACCCCGCATGCTGCTGTACAAGGACAAGCCTCTGGTGTCCCTGCTTCTATCAGGCCCCTCGGCAGCGAGATTTCATGGTGTTACACAAATGCACAACTTGAGGGGGAAATGAGCTGCATTCAGTGAGGTTTGAGGATCATGTGCAACATGTACATACATGAGGGATAATGTGAATGCAGAGGAAATCCTCAGACTCTGCTACACAGCACATGTATGTAATGTGCATCGATAGTTTCAGTGTATGAGGTCTGTCTGGAAAATTCCAGCCACTGGTAACATAAGGAGAACCGTTTGCACAACATGAACGTGACCTGGCAGCCAAGGAGAGTGGACTGGAGTGCGTGTGTGTGAACAATGACGACTCCACTGTACTAGTGAGTGGGGGCGGTGGGCACTACTGAGTGAGTGTGTGTGCTGTGTGGCCGATTCCCTCCTTCCCAGCAGCCAGATTGTAACCAGAGCTGTTCGATGTAGGAGAAGACACTACGGATGACATTACAGTTTAGTGTAATTACAAACAAGTTTCCCAAGTACCCAACATTCCACCGACACACAGCCAAACCACGTGCTTCATCTGGATTTCACGGCCGTGTGGCGTGGCCATCGATCAGCTTCTGCTTATCTCTCCATTCACGAGTGATTTAACCGGATCCCGGTCTTCCTCCCTGCGCAGGGGCCCGTCACTGTCATCCGCTGCGGCTGCCTGATGTTTGGCCCAGGGGCTCTGTCGTGACTGTGGCCAGGAAAAGCACTGAACCTGCACTGCAGTGAGTGCAGTCTGTAAATGCGGCTTGCTGGTAACTCAGGCCCTTTGCTGCCGCAAAGGACTGACTCCTGGTGGGGGTGCAAGACCCCGCGGCAGCTCCGGAAACAATGGTGGTCGCAGTGCACACAGCACCAGCTTGCTGGGGACGATGGTGAGGCTAGGGTGCCCGCAGTGGGGAGGGCGGGTGCTAAGGGTTTCCCCAGGAAAGGCCGGGACAAACCAGGATGACAAAGGGGGACTGGCTAGGTCTCCTAGTGAGACGGATGACAGATGTCCACCTGAAGGCGTCTTGATTCCCAATTCCCAACTTCCACTAGGCCATTTTTGTTATTAGCGACAGAAAACAGCAGTGACCGTTGGTGTTCATCTACCGCCACCTCGGATTTAAGCTGCCAGGGAAATGCATGTTTCCCGTCCGGGTTCCCACTGGATTTCCCACGGCTGCGGGCCAACCCAGTCCTGGAGGTGCGCTTTGAGTGCGGGACTGAAAGCTTACAACCAGCTGGCGTGGGTGGCCTGCTGCGCCCCTCACAGCCCTTGGGGGAGGCAGGGGTCCCCTCTGCTGGCTCAGGAAACCAGCGCTAGAGGGCGCAGAGCGGTGAGGCTGCTGAGGTCCTACACGCGCACGGGCGCGCACGGAAGCGCACAGGTGCGCACCTGCCCGCGCACACGCGGCATCATGGCTGCTGCACCAGAACCAGGACTCCGTGGAGTGGTGCCTCTACCCACTTCGGGGCGTGCTGTGCCAGACCCCTGGGAGTCTTGCCCGGCTGAGGACTCCGGTCTCGCCTCCTTCTGCCTGAAGCCCACGTAACCCCCGTTACCAGCCTGCCTGCGTTTCATCTGATTCATCTGGGCCCCCTGGCGGGGGAGGTGACAGACCCTCCGCTTGTGCTGTTTGGCCTTGTCACCCTCCTTAGAACATCCTTTACAGAAGCCTGCTTTTGCGTCGGCTGATCCATAGGGACCAGTGGTCCAGCCACAGCAGCTGGGCCAGAAGAGGAATAAAAGGCTTCCAGGAAGAGAGGCGGGTGTGTCTGTCTCAGTTTGGAGATGTGTGTTCCTCTACAGAGATAAGCTCTTCAAACCCACAAGGACGCTGTTCAAGCCGATCTCAAGTTCAGCAAAACTTCAGGTTGCAAAGCAAAACACAGAAATCAGTTGTGCTTTTACACATCCACAGGGAACCATCCGAACATGAAACTAGGAAGTCACCACAATCTCGGGAACCTGGGAGAGAGTAACACACCGACCGCATCGGCGAAGCAGGCGAGAGAGCTGTGCCTGAAAAACCAGAAAGTGGGGACACAGGAAATTAAAGCCCTCCGTACATGGGAAGACGTCTTGTGTTCCTGGGCTGGAAGACTTTAATCCTTTTTAAGATTTCTATACTCCCCAAAATAGCCTAGGAAGTCAACACATCCCTATCAAAATCCAGCTGGCTTTTTGCAGAAGTGGACAAGCCAATCCTCAAATGCATCCTGAAATGAAACAGGCCCCAAAGAGCCAAGATTATTTGCAAAAGGAGGACAGAGTTGGAAGGCTCACGTCCTGATTCCCAAACTTACTGTAAACTACAGTCATACAGAGAGGTTGGTGCCGGTACGGGGGGGCACCTGGACACCAAGGGGACGGAGCTGAGAGTCCAGAAGTGGAAGCCTGTGCTCATGGCCCACTCAGCTCTGTGAAGGGCGGTGAGACCATTGGATGGGCAGCCATGGTCTCTTTCACAAACAGCGCTGAGACAGCTGATGTCTACGTGCCAAAGGGTCAAGTTGCACCCCTACCAACGCCACCTGCAAACAGGCAGTCAAGGTGGGCTACAGAGCTGAGGTGAGAAATAACAGCATAAAGCCCTTCAATGAAAACAAGCATCTTCCTCCGTGAATGCGGATGAGGTGAGGTTTTCTTAGACGATGTCATCAAAGCACAGGAAAGAAAAAAAAAAGAAAAATGAACTCCCTAAAATTAAGGACTTCTGTGCTTTGAAGCATTTCCCCAAGGAAGTGGAAAAATAACCCATAGGATGGGGAACATTTCTTGTAAATCATATATCTGATAAGGACATCGAAGCTGGAATGTATAAAACAACTGATATGACTCAATTATAAAAAGGCAAATAAGTCAAATAAAAAATGGGCAAAGGAGCTGAGCAGACATTTCTCCAAAGAGATTTTTTTACAAAGCCAGTGAGCCCACAAGACGATGCTCAGTCAGCAGCCCCCGGATGTAAGGCAGCAGTTCCCACCCTGCTCCCCCTGGGACGGCTGTGGGGAGACAGATGGCGGCTCGTGCTGGCGAGGACATGGAGAAAGTGGGACCCCCACACTGCTGGGGGTGTACGATGGGGAGCGCACTTGGAAAACCACGCTGGCAGCTCCCCAAAGATGAAACAGAGTGAGCTCGCGCCCCAGGAATCCTTGGCGTGCACCCCGGAGAGAAGGAGGCACGCACCACGCAGCAACCTGTACGTGAGCGTTCGGGGCAGCAGCCTGCCGACCAGCACCAGATGGCGCTCTAGCCAGACGCTCACCGGCTGGTGAACGGACAGGCGGAAGGGGTCACCTCCACTCAGTGGACTCTCACTGTGCAACAGAAACCCGCTAAGCACATAAACGTGCCATGGCGTGGGCGAATCTTCGAATCACTAGCCGAGTGAAGGAAGCTGCTGTGTCCGTGTACGTGAAGAGTGTAGAACAGGGAAGTCCACAGACACAGAGCAGACCACTGCCTGCAGGGGCCGGGGCAGGACAGCGGTGACTGCCAAGGGGGCGGGGATGAAAACGTTGGAGACCGATGGCAGGGATGGCCGCGCACATCCGTCAGTGCGCCGGGGCCACGGACTGCAGGGCCTGTGACCTAGATCCCAGGAAGCGCTGAGAGACAGATAGATTCACCCGGGGGACAAGCACAGGAAGACGCAAACTAAACCGCCTGTCCCCGCGCTGCGGGGCTCAGGGGAGGCCGGCGCTGTCCAGTGCAGGGGGCGGCTCGCCTGCCTCTGCGGTCCTCCGTCCGCATGCACCACGCACCACGCAGGCGGCCAGAGGCCCAGGCAGGTCTGGGCTCCCCTTCAGGGCCCTCAAGACGTCACGGTGTCTCCACTCCTATTTATGTTTCCTGGGTCGTGATTCAGACTTACATGCCGACAGCAAGTTTCACGGGTTTCTGGCAGTTGCTGTTTTACATTCTTATTAAAGAAAACAAAGTGTCATTCAGTAAATGAATTAACTTTCACCAGCCAATCCGATGATACGGGTGCAGTTCCATAGGGAAGGGCTGAGAGCTGATTGGTTGTTGCTGTAAGACCGCGGAGCAGGGTGTTTGGGCCACTCCCAAGCACAGGGGCGGGACCCCCACACCTGGGGCAGGACCTCTCACCAAGATCTGGTCACCCAGGACCTGGCCCCGTGCAGCTCACTGGTGTCTTGTGTTTCCTCTTTTGCCTTTATATGATCAGTAGTTCAAAGGCCTTCAGACCTGGGTGTGTGCATTTCAAGGACAACCCCTAGCATCCCCCCGACACAGTGGACCGGCCGTCCCTTTGTCAACGCCGGCTGCTCCTCCGGGGTCATGTCCTTGGCCGACTAGTGTGGCTCCGCCTCCCGGCCAGCTCTCTAATCTGAGTCACGTGGGCACTTAGCAGATGTCCTCGAAGCAGATCCTGAGCGTCCTTGTGACCAATCGGCTCCACGTGGGTCTGACTCAGCACAAAGGATGGGAGCACGGGTGCTGGCGGGGGGTCGGGGGTCTGCTTGGAGATCCCACCAGGCCCCTTGGCCGCACGTCCACCCCAGACCCGACTCCAAGGCGAGAGTCGCTGGGAGCAGCAACTGCTTCCTGAGCTTCCCGAGCCTTTTGAAGAACCGCTTCTGAGTGGTGAGCGCGGAGTTGAGTTCAGCTCACAGGGCCCTGCTGTGCTTTCAGTCGCCTCTGTCTGCTTTGTCCCTTCAGGGGCTCGTTCAGTTCTGTCACAGAGTCACGGCCTCCGAGTCCTCGTGGGTTCAGGCCACTGGCAGAGGCACCGCTGTGCGTCCACAGTGGGTTCTGACACCCTGAAACCCTCGGGGGGCAGCCGAGGGGCCGGTCCCTGCGGCTGTCCCACCACCTGTCCGCCCCGCTGGACGCCCAGGAGGCAACGGAGCCGTCAGGCCGCTCCTCCAACTGCAGGCCGCGGCCTGGAGGGGCCCGTCCCTTGGGGTCACAGACTCACGGCCACGCACGGGCGGCAGCGGCAGCAACAGCCCCTGGCGGGTGTCCAGACAGTGGCTCATGGGTCCCCCCTGTCCCCACTAACTGGGAGTTCAGCTGTTCAGTCAGGATGCATGCAGCTCCCGTTGCGGCCAGGTGTGAGGCCGGCAAGGGCCAGCCCGGCGCCACAGCCTGACTCCCGGCAGGCGAGCCTGGGGACAACAGGCAGGTGGGAGGCAAGCAGGTATGGGGCTCTCCCAGAGGTCTCGGGGAGGGCCTCCAGGAAGAGCAAGGTCCGGGGCCCGAGGTGGGGTCCTCGGGTCAAAAGCAGCAGTTCCTGTTGCTGAGCTGGAGCCTCGGCCACTGCGGCTCGACCAGCAAAGGGGAACCTGCCTCGTGGAGAACGGCACAGACAGCGGTGGGGCCTCTGGTGGCAGAATAAATCCCGTCCTCTTTCTCAGGGACTTGACCCCTCAGGCATGCAGAGGAAGACTATTCTGCCACAGCAAATCGGGGACACCTCGGCGGCCACATGGGACGCTGAGGTCCGGGAGGGGGTCGTGGCTGCAGCCTTGGGTCCCAGCTGCCCGTCATCCGGAGGCCACCACTGGACTTGGCAGGGGCTCTGGCCCATCAGCAGCAGCAGCAGCCAGGGGCTGTCAGGATCCTGTCCCCGAGGCCCTCACGTGCCTCACCTTTGGAACCTCACTGTGACCCCCGTCCCAGGCCCCCTGGGGCTCAGGGTCCCCCAGAGTGGAGACCAGAGGGTCCCTCTTGCAATCGTGTCCCCGATGCCGCCTCTCTGTGCCTCCAGTGTTGACCGCTGACCACCCTGTCCCCGCCCATGTGAGAGGAGGTGCGCCGCCCACTTCCGTCTGGGCCAGTCCCACAGGTTTGCCCACTCGGCTCCTCCTGCCCCCCTCCCCCCCGCTCTGCCCCCCACAGGTTCCAAGCAACCCCGTCCGTACACCCTCTTTGGTTCAATGTGCAAAACAAGCTGTGAAACTGCTCTCGGGAGCATTTCCTCCGTCCGTGGGGACTTGGCTTCCCTGCAAGGGTTGACCGTTCGGCTCGCTGAGTGTGCAGAAATTCTCTGCAGGCTTGGACGCTTCTCACCTTGACAGCCAAAGGGAAGACTCCATCCACTCCAACCCCAACCTCAGCCAGTATTAGGAATTTATGAACGCTTACAGTGTTTCATGCTGTATCATGCATGCTGCTGACTTCGCACACACAAACTCTCATGCACACATCAGTAAACACGTTCATTGATTTTGGAGAGGAAGGGAGGGAGAGGAAGAGGGATACATTGATGTAAGAGAGAAACAGCGATGGGCCGCCCCCTGTACGTACCTGACCGGGAATCGAACCCACCACCTTTTGGCGCACGGGATGACGTTCCCACCAACCGAGCCACCCGGCCAGGGCGTCAGGAATCAGTGTTATCACCCACTCGCTTTCTTTCAACGAACAAGCCAAAATGGCTCATGGGAATCAAGCAAACTGCTCGGTGCCCAGGCGGGCAGGGCCCACGCACACCTGGCCTCGTCCCCATCGTCCGGGCCACGCGGGAGCCGCACACCCTGTCCTGCCGGTGGCTTCCTGAGTCTGTGGGCTACACGGCACGACATGCACCCTACATGGGAGCCTAACACACAGGCACATGTGTGGACACACATGCACACACAACACTCATTCTTCTGTGGGGTGTACTTTGATATTTTCTATTCTGTAAGGCCTATACATTCCCATCCTATCTTTTTTTTATTAAAAAAATTTCTGATAGTGACTCAGTAATGTGAATTCATAGCCCACTGAGTTGCAACCTGCAGTTTCAAAATCTATGTCATGTAAATATAAACTAGCAGTCTTGTTTTTTGTGTCAGACTGGCAAAAAATATGCTTTTTGGTGTGCACAGAATTTTAGTAACTAGTATGTGTGAGCCGTGAGCTGAAAAAGGTTGAAAATCACCGATGTGTGGTATCAGGTGCCGACGAGACCTGTCGGGGTGACTGCTGAGCAGGTCACATGAAGCTTCGTCACTGGTGTGCACCCCTGACTCAAGCACCATAATGCATGTCACCTGGCACGGAAAAGCAGACACGACTTTTTCCTTTTACACAAGGAAAAAGTTAATAAAGCAAAAATACATATGTGTGTAAACTCTCAGACAGTGAAACAAAATGAAGTCACTTCCTGGGTGAGAAGGCGGATTAAGGGAACTGCACCACCATTAAACACGCTCCCAGCGCCTGTTTCCACCCGGGACCACTTCAGTGTGACGATCGCCACTCACTCATTTTAGATGTCATCAGCCTCCCTCACTGTTGCGGTTGAAGTGTCATTTCAAGGGGACAGATTTGGAAGGAGAGGGAAAGACTTCACAGGTGGCTGCTCAACCTGCATGTGTGTGTGCGTGTCTGTGTGTCTATAAATACCTGGAAATACCTCGACCCCTTCCCACCTCTGTGGGGACCCAGCCAGGACCCGGGAAGGGGCCTCGCCGAACCTGACCTCGGCCTTGGCTTTGCTTCCAGCCTCCAGACTGCGAGGAATTGACTGTTTAAACGCCACCCAGGCCAGGACCTTCTGCTGTCACAGCCCGCACAGGTGAGGGCGAAGCTCGCGTGTGTGGGGGCTCGAAGGGACTGTGTCACCTCACTGTCCGAGGAGGGAGCCCCGCCAGGGGCCAGGCCCTGGAGTCCCTCTGGCAGCCAGCAAGCCCAGTGACTGCATGCCAGTTAGAGACTGACAGTTAGAAGGGAAGCAAGGGGATGTGTTCCAGGAATTTAAACGAAAAACCCCAATACCTGCATTTAGTAGCTTGAAAGCTGGCTTTAATTTGCCTATGTGGAAATAAAGTTTTAACCTGACGTTGTTGAAATGAAGTCCACCTTCCTGGACGGTCCCTTGAACAACCGGCAGCTAACCTTCCTCCCCTTCCCCACAGTGGGGCGGTAAGTCCGCCCGCCACGCCTGGGGCCGGGCTTTGGGGCGGAGGGGGAGGAGGTGGGGACGGAGGTCGGCTCCGCGACGGACGCCCTGAGTGAACGCTATTTCCTGAAAGTTCCAGAAATTTGCCTCAGGGAAGCACCCGTAAATTCCTGTCTCACTGGACCATACAGTGTGTCTTTCCTTTAAAGCTGTTCTTGTTGTCCTCATTTTAAACAGAAAAGCAAACTTTTTTGGTTTCTCGTTTTCTTCAAAAGAAATCACAGCTTTATACAATGGACTCCTTCAATTTTCAATATTATTCTTTCGGGCAACCCTACAGGCAACAGGTTGATTGGCTAAAAATGAGAAATAAATGGAGAAAGATTCAAATCTGAACACGAGTCGACTTACGCAATGCAGCCCCGAGTGTTCGATGACTGAGGCCATCGGCCCAGGTGCAAGGTGGGGACACAGAGCCCAGGGCTACCGCACGGTGACTTTTCTCACTGTCTGTCTGAGGTTGAGTTCACCCAACACCTGACATTTCTAACAGATTCTCGCCTTTTTATGCAAACACGGCTCCAGGTCAGAGGACAAGGGCCACTATGGCACCAGCTTTCCCATGTCCACGTGGCGAAAAACCACGATGTCCACGTCTGTTTCTCCAGCATCAGGGACACACAACACGGGAGGGCCCAGGTCTCCCTGGGAGACAGGGCCCCGCTGGGCCGGCCTCCACCTGATCGTGCTCCCTGGGTTTTGGGTTTGCCCAGAGAAATCAGCTCTTTGACATCAAGGGGCAGAGCTGCTTGCAAAAATGCAAAGAAAGGACTTTCACATCCTGAGACTCATGCGGAGTGAGGTTCAGTCTCGAAGGAGACAAGGAGAGGGTGTTGTTTACGTTTGCAGGCCTGCGTCAGTAAGGTCAGTGGTCTGCCTTCCTAACTAGCAGTAACCATCTGCCTTAAAGAGGAATCCACGGTGACCAGGAGGAACCGCGTGCCCACCCAGATGCCATGATGCCGACAGACCACCGTGCTTTAGGACCTCGCACTCAGTCTCACGGGACACTCTGCAGTCAGGCACACGCTCGGACATGTCAGCAGAAGGGGTGACGGTTGCAGCCCAGCAGAGGCCGCGCCCCAGAGCCTGCCACGACCGCCGTTGGAGACGGGGCTGGTCCCGGAGCCCTACCTAGGTCTTCCTCCGCCGGCCCCGGGAAGCTGATGCCCGGCTGGACCAGGTCCCCGCCCTCTTCTTCTGCAAACAGAGAAACAAAGTCACCGGTTAGGACGTGTCCGCTGTGGCCCAAGTCACACAGCACCTCTTCACCATGCTTCGCCCCGGTCACCCAAACCCGAGAGGCGCCCTCACGCTCGTTCCCACACCCCTGCACAGAGCCGAGTCACGTGCCAGACCCCAGGCAGACCCGCCCGCCGCTCCTGAGAGCACCAGGCTGCGGCTGCCACGCAGGCGCCCGTCAGGCCAGGGCTTCCCACCTTCGCTCTGCCCCGCGCCTGCCTTCTCCGACTCTGTCGGCGCCGGAGCAAAGCTCCATCAATGCCCTGGGGCAGCCTCGCCCCCTGGGCTGCGGGAGGCCTCCTCCCCAGCCCCTCCACCCAGCACTGTCTCCTCTCTGGGTGAGGACGCTCCATTTCCGTAGATGACCTGCCTGAAGGACGGAGGCAACAATGTCAAGGGGCACCTTTTACCTGTGGAAATGTGTCCCCACAGTGTCACTGTAGCAGAAAACTGCTCCTGGTGGACAGCAAGGGCACAGGCCCAGGAGCCAGTGGGGTCCTGGGGGTGCTGGGGGAGGGCCGGGCCCAGGCAGGGCGAGGGGCAGCGCCTTGCAGGACGCGCAGGGAGCCCAGGTTCTGAAAGCCGGATGCTCTGACCGTTCGCCCAGCTTCTAGATTCCTTTCCTCCTCCCAGTTTACTTCCACAGAAGGCACGCGCCAGCCCACATGGCAGCCGCCTCCCTGATGACAGCATCTGAAGTGGCTTCAATTAAGGGCTCGTTAGGCTCCGCGGGGACAAAGGCTCTGATTAGCCCGCGCCGTGCTTCCGCCCCACCCCAGCCACAGCTGTGCCTCCTGCCACCCCGGCGGTGGCTGCTAATGGCTCTCCTTTGACGGCTATAGAAACGCGCATGATTTCATTTTGGAACAACGATCCAGTCTCAGCAGAAGCTGCCCCTAAATCTGCAGAATTTTCACTGACACTTAAATGTCACTTAAGTCAATCAAAGAGGAAAACTGTAAGTCACTGATGAGGTGGCTCCACTCCAACGGGAAAGACGACTGGCTCTCGGGACAGGTGGCAGCCACGCGGCAGAGGGCAGGCGTGGCGTCCGCTCACACGGGCTTCGGTGGGTGGCCACCCCACGTCCCCCGTGTCCAGGCTTCCGGGACCCCGTCTCGTGAACCATCAACGAACGCACGTTCAAATAAATCACAAAACCATCTTCCAAAGGACTTCAGTTCCAACTAAGAGCACCGCACACTTCATTTCAGATTTCTCTGGACTCAAAAAAGACAAAAACGCTGAAGCAAAAAGCAGACTGTTTCTTATTTAAATACCTGAAAGCTTCCCGATGAAACTGTCTGTCTGCTGTTAAACTTGGACAGGCGTCACTTCAGAAGTGACATTAATTACATTTTACATAAGATGTTTTGAATCTAATTCCAAATGAGGGCAGTTCGCTCCGTCGCCGTCGCCGCGCCATCTGCATTTAATAAGGTTTTGCACCGATTTTGCTGAGGACGCGTCCACCACGTTTCAACCGGAAATGCTATTTTTAAGGCGGGGGGAAGGGCTCTTTGCGCGGCTCCGACGCACCTGGGCTCCGTGCTCGGCGCTGCCGCGGCCACGCCTCAGCGGCCAGAGCGTCCAGCGTGGAAACCAGCCCGCTTCCGCCTCCGAGTGGCGGCCACCCTCGAAGTTCCGTGAGGCTGCCGACACCGCGCCGCACACTGTCAGACCTGACACTCAGGTGCACGCAGGATGACTTTCGGTGTGTGGTGTCCCACACAGTTTATCTGAGATTCGGTTGGAAGGACGGTTCCCACAGGCAGGAAGCCTGGCTCCGTGCAGGGCCTGCGGCCTCCCCAAGGCTGAGATCCCCCCAATCCCGCCCCCAGCTCAGTGAACAAAAGCCACTGACTGAAGCTCTCAGTCCCCTCTGTCCTCTCACTAAAACAGGAGACATGACCACCCACCACCCAGGGACAGTGGGCAGGTGGGGCAGGGCGGGGGGCCGGCGCTCCCAGGACCACCGGTTCCTGTGCACAGCCGCAGGTGCCCTGCCTGTCCCCCCGCCCCCCTTCCACCTGCTTCCCAGACAGATGCTCCAGATGTGTTCACACCTGACGCACACGCACGCTCAGTGCCAACTGTAAACACTCTGAAACCCTTTATTCGACACGTGACCTTCGTTTCCCGACCTGGTGGGCCTCTGGAGCCTGGCCCACCCCCTTGCGTCCCACGGACAAGTCCCTCCCGTGTGACCTGTGGTTGGTTGTCCCGGACCCCCGACCCCTGCATACCCATGGCCGGGCTTATTCGGCCGAGACACTGCAGTTTGATCCGCGACCCCCAGGGCACAGAGCTCGATGCTTGAGCTGGGTCACCCTGGTTTCCCCTCCTACGTGGGTCACGGGGCAGCAGCCCCACAGATGCCAGATGAACATCACGCTGGTGGCACCATGGGGGATTCTGACAGGCAGGGCCCACGGTGACAGGCAGGGCCCACGGTGACAGGCAGGGCCCACGGTGACAGGCAGGGCCCACGGGACAAGCCTCGGACAGGAAGTCCCAGCCGCCTCACCCCGTCGGCCTGAGGCTCTGCGGCGTCACCGACTGAGGAAGGGCAGGGACAGGCACCCCAACTCTGAGGCCACTGCCCCTCGTCAGACCCTGCCGCCCCCTCCCAGTCCTGGAGGGCGCTGAGCAGACAGCCTCCCAGACAGGGGCCTTCCGTTGCCAGGGCAACCAACCACTCTCAGAACCACTGGGGATGACGCCTCTCTCCACAGTGTGTCCTCTCAGAGCCCCAGAGACTGGACAGCAGCCCCGGGGGCTGAGGGTGCCACCTCCTCCATGTAACCCAGGCCCCCCATGAGGTTTCCCTTTGCCCGAGGGTGATGACACACAGCTGCTCTCAGGAACACAGGCTACACGCTGGGCGAGGACATGTGCGTCACAGCTTGGGTCTGACTCAGGGGAAGTCCCCAGGGGGAAGACGGATGTCTCGGGATGTCCCTGCAGGGAGACCACCGCTGTGTCCCTGGGGGAGGAGCTAGAGCAGGTGTGAGCAAGAGTCCCAGCGGGTCTCAGCAGGAATCAGCCTGACTCAGCTGGAAACACACCCACCGTGTCCAGCGAGGCCACAGGGAACCAGAGGGCACAGGGGAGGGACACGGAGGTCCCCAGGCCCCCAAGGTGGGGAGGGGCCGCAGGAACTTCCGAGGAGCAGATTCCCTCTGTAGTACGGGCCCTGAAGGGACGGCACTGGGCCCGCACTGTCCTCCTCACGCAGGCGCGCCCCCAGCTGAGGCTGCCGGAGGGCCCGAAGACCGTCTGGGTGCCTCCTCGCAGAGTCACTGATGCCGAGCGGCGGCGGCCTTTTGTGCTGAAGACACATGCGGGCGGGGGGAATTTCAGGGGAGCATCTTGACTCCTGACAGCAGTGAGAACCAAGCTGTGCCCGGGTTCCGCACAGTGGGGGGCCTTGCTATTGGGCATTTGTACCCCCTTCGGGACCCCAACAGGGCAGGGACTGCCCCGTGAAGGCGGCTTTGGGTCCTAGGATTTCCTTGTTCCGAAGGGACATCGGCCAGCGCTGCCTTCTGCTCGGTCCGACTCTGCCAGAGGGACCACAGAAAACGTTTTTCCTTTTATCGAAGAAAAGGTACTGCTGAGATTTTCTAGAGAGAAAAATAAAGGAACCTGAAAATTGGATTTTCTCCATGTGGTTAGCAAAATAAAGACTTATAGACCAAACTGTAGAAATATCACCGAATAGTCGGTGGAAGAGGACCCTGCTGACAAACACACCTTGACCTCCGATTCCTGCCCCGTGACCCCCGTGACCCCACAGGGCATCGGGCACTGGGGACGGTCAGGGCTGCAAAGGGCTAGGGCTGCCCTAGGGGTGACCCAGGGCAGCATGGAGGTGATTAACCCCGCCCCTCACCCCTCCTCCCAAATATCCAGCAACAGATGAAAGGGCTCCTCCAAACCACACTGCCGGGCACCACGCTCCCCCCGATGGACCCAGGGCCACCACGATCGGCACTGCTGTGTGACCTCACGACTCGGATGGAGGCAGCAACCGTTCCGCGTCACCTCTCCGCAGAGGCATGGGAATGGCAGCTGAAACCTGCTTCCTCCGTCAGAGATCCCACCGCCCTCAAAGCACCGCTTACAGAAACCAGGTGAGGATGAGGAAGGAGGGCTGGCAGGCAACCTCGCCAGACTGGTGCTCCAAGGTCGGAGACCAAACCGAGGGCTAAGTCACAGCTGTGAGGATGGAAACGCCGCCCAGAAGGAAAAGACAGCACGACAGGGGTCAGGCCCCCGAGGGAGCAGGGCTGGCCAGCCCCACCCACAGACACAAGTTTTGACCAAACTCGCAGAATTAATGAGGTGACCGGGACTTTGCTCAGATGTAGGTGTGAGCTCATTGGCATAACAGGGGTGCAAATGCTGGTGGAGGACTCCCCCCGACGACCTCAGACAGGGGCTTGGTCCCCAAAACGCTGTCCAGCGTGAGCCTCACACTGTGCCCAGTGACCTGGTTCTGAAAGAGCAGCAGACAGGAGGGGACAGGACAAAGCAGCCAGGACAGGTCACGACAGGAAAGACCAGGACGTGTCTCCAGTGTCGAGTGTTGCTATGACGCTCTCCACGTTGAGGCACACAAGTGTGCCTACACCTGTGTGTGTTGTGTGTGCTTGTGTCCAGGTTGCGAGTAAAAAGCACTTCTTACAATGGGCTGCAGCCAAAATGGTTTAAAGCTGCCAGTCCTGGTGGGCTAACCGGGCTCAGACTGAAACTAAACCAAACGGAAACAGAGCCTAGCAGCCACCTCTGCCCAGGCGCCTCTCACAAAAACTGCACCTTGGGAAGCAGCCAGCCCCGAACCGCCCACCTGCACTGAGTCTCTCTGCCGAGCAGCCCTTACATAGGAGCTCTTGGAATTGTACTTCAACCAATAGGACTGAGGCTTTTCCCATCCAAGCAGAGCTGCACAGTTC